ACATAAAAATTTTGATGGCTTTTCTGCCAATTTCCTATATTATACCAAAATCATTATAGAATAACTGGATATCCACATGCAAAATAATGGAGTTGGACCCGTACCTCTCATCACATGCAAAAATTGTCAAAATGAATCAAAGACCTAAATGTAAGAGCTAAAACTATAAAACTCTTTGAAGAAAACATAGGAGAAAATCTTCATGGCATTGGATTTGACAGTGATTTTCTGGATATGACACCAAAAGCACAGGCAACAAAAGTAAAAAACAGATAAATTGGACTTCGTCAAAATTAAAACTTTTGTTCATCAAAGGACACAAGAAAGTAAAAAGATGGCTCAGATTGGGGAAATCCTGTTTCTGATAAGGGATATACATAGGAAGTATATAAGAGGGACTCCTACAGCTCGACAACAAAGAACAACTTTGTGCCGCCCCGGCGCCTTTGTGCAGGACACACATCACACAGGTACCTGGTGCTCTGAGCGGGGAGGGTGCCTGTCTGTTCTCTTTGCACTTTACGAAGAGGCAAAACATGGTGGAGAAAAACTGTGGCCTGAACTGACCTCACACGGTTGGCTAAGGCCAAACCGGAACGCGGAGTCCACTTGGTTCCCTGTTTGACCATGCTGCCTCAGTGTGGAAAACAAAAGAGGAACAAACCATCTGTGCGTGTGACCGGCTGAGGAGAACCACTTATTAGCATTCAAGACAGGGGTCCAAGCGTATGACGCTCTAAACCCTCCGGGACCCACAGAGGAACGGAAAATGGCAGTGCTTGTGTATCTTCATTAGATCATGCTCATGTTTTCATCATCGTCATCATCAAACATTTGTTTTGATTTAAAAAAATGTTATGGTGGTAAAACATATAACATAAAATTCATCGTCTTAACCATGTTTAAGTGTACAGTTGAGTGGCAGTAAGTTCATTCACATTGTTGTGTAACCACCGTCACCACCCACTCTCTTAACTCTCTTCATCGTGCAAAACTGGCGCTCTGCACCCCTGAAACAGCAGCTCCCACTCCTCCTGCCCAGGCCTGGCACCGCCACTTTGTTCTATGTCTGTGTGAAGGTAAGTACTTCACAGAGGCGAACTCGCACAGCATTTGTCCTTTTCCGACTGGCTTATCTCAGAGCATCATGTCCTCCAGGTCCATCCATGCTACAACAGGTGCCAGAATTTCCTTCCTTTTTAAGGCGGAACAATATTCTGTTGTCTGTATAGACCACATTTTGCTTATCTGTCTGTTGATGGACCCTTGGGTTGCAACCATGTTTTAACTCCTGTGAATAATGCTGCTGTGAACATGGGTGTACAAATACCTCTTCAGGACCCTGCTTTCAATTCTTTGGGGTGCATTCCCAAAACTAGAATTGCTGGGCCATCTGGTAATTCTGTTTAATTTTTTGAGGGACTGTCATACTGGCTTTCAGCAGCAGCTCCATTTTACGCCCCCACCAGCAGTGCACGAGGGTCCCAATGTCCCCACATCCTCGCCAAACTTGTTATTTTCTCTTTTTTTAGTAGTAACCATCCCAGCGGGGGGAGCTGGTATCTCATTGTGGTTTAATTTGCGCTCGACCTTTTTAATGCATGGCGTTGCGGTCTATTCTTCACCTTCAGGGAGCGTTCATTGTGATGTGCACATCTTTGCAAAGCATTCCTTGGGTGTTTAATCCGACAGCCTTAGATGAAGGCATCTCGTTAAACCACATGCAAAAATATTGCGTAATAAGCTTCGTGGCTGGTGTGCTCACTTGAGAAGGTCTCTGATAGAGACCCTCTCTATCAGAACAGAGAACAGAGAACTCACTCCGCCCCGCTTGTCTTGACCCCGTGTGCCCTTAATCATAATTAGTAGTGTGCTTATCAGTCATGTCTTTTCTTGGTCATAGAATAAGAAAAACAATTTTGAGAACATGAACTTTTGACAGTGGTTCATTTGTTTGGCAAGCATTTGTGAAAGCTGGAAGGGGCTGGAGGGAATTGAAAAGTAGCTGTTGGCTAAACTCGAGGGAGGGTACAGACGTGACCATGAATAAATTTACGGAGAGTGAGAAGAGAGAACGTGGAATCCAGAAGGCACTGAAGGGACTGATTCAAGGGTGAGACCCAGCAGAGACGCAGGCGCCAAGCGGGCGCTGCTTTGGGTGGATTCGCGCCCTGCCCCCATCCGCTTCCCTCACCTGTGCCCATGGGTTGGGCAGTGCCCACGATCCGCTGCCACGGCGTCCCACACTGTGCCCCCCAGCGTGCGCCCCGTCCTCCTGGCTGAATCACGTTTGGGACGGGACAATTCCAGTGGCCTGTCTCGGTTTTGTCATCTCAGTTGTCAGTCCTCGTACGACTCAGGAAGTCGGTCTCCAGGAGGACCAGTAGGTGAGCCTTCGGACCCCTCTTAAAGCAGTCTCAGCCTGTGTTGATTTCCGTCGTCTGATTTGGAATGCAGTCAGAAAGTCATTTCTGGACAAGCTCAGATAATCCACTCTTTCACAGGTGCCATCAAACACACAGTATTCAGTGAGAAATGACTCAGGTAGGAGACTGGGCTACTAACGGAAATGCTGACGGCAGTGTCAGCAGTGACAGACTTGTGTTTTGAACCCCTACGTCCCCAGTTCACGCCAGCCGCCCCACGCCCACCGCTGCAGCTTCGAAAGGATGGGCTGACAGGGCTGTGCCGCGGCCATGGTCACAGCACCCAGCTCGCCTCAGCAGCTGCCAGTCACCACGATCTGAAGGTCTCCGACCACAGGAGAGAGGCGTTGGGCCGGTAGGAGCTGCACGTGGAGATGTTCTAGGCCTCTGCAATCGACCATGGTGAAAAGAGGCGTGGCTTCAGTCTCTCCACATGAAGTGTAAACCGAGCCGGTTACCGTCCAGAATTATAAATAAAACGCCACGCGTCTCCTCTTCTCCAGCTCTAACCCGAGTGTGTGCCTTGCGATGAGCCCGGCTGTTAAGTGCGTCCTGCACTGCCCACAGACGTGACGAGCTCCTAGGCAGACTCTTACGATACGGGAAGACCCACAGGGAAAAGCTGCCCGAGGGGTCCTTACCTCTATATGGAGATATAGTGACCAGTGACAAGAGGTCAGGAATGTCGGCATCACGGCGTTGACCGTGGTGTGAAGCGTAACACTCGGGGGTCGCCGTCCTCACAAGCATTCAGCGAGCTCGTCACAGGCCCTGGTACGTCCCAGTGAAAGGCGGGAACGGACTCCCCTCCTGGCACTGCCGCTCTGGTGGACAGGTGGACAGTAAACAATAGTACGGACAGTCACCTGGTCACAGCAGTCAGGAGTGTCATGAAGAACAGCAGGATTTTTGGGGGGCAGGACGATGAGTGGGCCTGAGGATATAGAGCTCCAGCCACATTTGGAGGGGTGAGCAGGGCCCACTCACCTGATAGTGGCCACACACAGGCTGGGGACGTCCTGGCGTCCTGGCGAGAGGCAGGCCGGGAGGGGCTTGGTGCCCGTGGCTGGAGGAAGGCCGTTCGCCCTCAGGGCCAGAGCAGGAGGGAGGTGGGCACCGGGGAGGTCAAACGATGGAGAGGCTGCAAGGTAGGCAGACACATAGAGGTCACGTGCAGACTCTGCCTGCAAAGCGGAGGACAGCTGTGCACATGCTCCACGTTGGCCCAAGACACATTTGCAGCACATTGAAAGCTGCTCCCCGGAGAACGGATAGCAGACGGCTGAGAGAGGAAGTGGGGGTGTTAGAGGCTTTCGCAGGAGTGCAGGTGATGGGCGTGATGACCTGAGCTGGTGACTGGAGCAGAGACGGAGCGAATCTTGATTCGAGATCCATTTGGAGATGAAATCAGCAGGATTTCGTTCGAGATCGGTGTAAGTAATGTGAAGGGGAGCTAGGCCTCTTCACCCTCAGATTCCAGTTTAAATTCCGGTTAAACCATCAAATTCTGAGCTTGTGCCTGTGGTTCATTCGCCCGTTTAGTGATTTAGTCCGTGATTCACTCAGCTCCTTCTGTGCCCAGGCACTCTGCCAGGTCCTGAAGACACGGGGTCTGTCGTGGGTTCTGCTGAAGGCCCCTCACCGACGGGCCGCTTGATGAGGTTCCCTGTGTGAGATCCAGGTGCTGAGAACAAAGCTTCCGACTGCGCCTCCACGGACTTTGCTCCCTCAGCTTGCAGTTCTCCTCAGGGGAGCCCGGGGGCTTTAGGGGTGACTGGGAGTGGCGGAGTTGGCCCCTGGTTGCCCCACTGACAAGGCAGTGCACCTCGTGCCCAATGGGGGCCTGGTACTGAGTGACGCCAGGCAAGGGACCGTCCCACATGGCGAAGGGTCGTCCAGCCACGACCAGAAACACTGCCACTGATGGACCCGGCTGAGCTTCACTCTGACCAGTGACCACTCGCCAGCCCTCACCAGTGCTTGTCTGACTTTAATCCGGGGATCAAAAGGGATACACGTGGGGCTCCCTTTATGTGAGTGCCCCTCCCGGTCCCTCTGTGGACGCCCCCCGGGTCTGCAGCGTCATCACAGCTGCAGAGACAGGCTCGCGGGGTTCTTACACTCGGGCATGTCCTCGCCGATTAAAAGTGCGCCTCTGGAGAAATGCAGCCTGCACGCCCCGCTCTGCTCCCCCGATCGGTGGCGCCGCCTCTGCTTGTGCAGCAGCTTGTCAGACCTCGGTTAGTATTTGGAGAACGGAAGGAAGAGAATTATACAAACCATTTTCTGTGCAGAGCCATTTTCCTCCAATCAGTCTCAGAATATACGTATTTATGGTGCTAAGAAAATTGTGTCCTCAGGACCTAGTGATACAAAGTCATGTAGAAAAGGTGCAAATGCTTAGGACGATGTCCACTGGCCCTTATGATAATGATAATTTTTAAAATCTGATAATTTTTAAAATAATTTTTTAAGTAATCTGAAAACCAAAATTCTCTGTGAACACAGGTGCAAATCTATAGATGCCTAATTTTTTCTTCTTTTTTAACGTGAATACCTTGTCTGTCTGCACAGAGTCACTGGAGGGGAGCTGTTTGAAGACATAGTGGCGAGAGAATATTACAGTGAAGCTGACGCCAGGTGAGTGACTTGCCCTGGGCTCGATGCCAGGCTCAGCCTCCAAATGACAGTTGTCCGAGCACGTGGTGCCTGGTACCCATGGGCCTCTCCCGGGCCACCTTGGCCTGCGTCTCATGTTGAGTTCCTCTTAATGGATGTTGTTCTCTCTAAGGATTTCCAAGGTGACTCTCAGGAAAGAAATCTAGGGACTTGGTCTAAACATCATTTTTATCTAGCGCCTTTAAAGTGCATATTTTATTTTATTGTTTTAGAGCCTAACTGAAATGACTTCTGCTAAAGAAGCAGACGTTTTTAGCGAAGTTAAGAGACCAAAGACCGCGACCCCTCTTCTCTAGCTCCTGGGCTGCGCAGCATGGCAGCCACTGGTCACATTTGGCTATTTTATTTCAATTGCAATTAGTCAAAATTAAATAAAAGGTCAGCTCCTCAGTCTCACCGGCCAGTTTCAGCCCCAGGTGGCTCGTGGCTGCCGGCCGGATATAGCAGGCCATGGGCACGTCCTTGGTCCGGGGAGCCCACAGCCCGAGCGCGTCAGACACATGCAGAAACGTGTGGCCGGAGCCCCAGTGCACCCGAAAGCGTTAGCTGCTCAGCGCTGTGGGAATCTCATCAAAGCCCCTGGAACTCTCACTTGAACACTATTTATTCAGGTGTTTCAGTGGCTTCCAAAGGATTATAGAATCTTGTTAACTGGCCGACCTTTACAGAAGTCATAATGGCCTACGCTGTGTCTGGTTGGAAACTGCCCAGCCACACAACGGCGTGTCTTTGGCATGAAGGGGCGTTGACACTGGCTTAGCCGGCCCCCAACCCACACGCTGTCTTCCCCCCGCAGCCTTCCATGTGCTCCGTAGTTGGCATCACTTTTAACAACGTAAGCAAACGTATAGAAGTCCAGCTACTGACCGGCCCCTCAACTGCCCCCAGTGCTTCCCTTCTGAGGGCCCCCCTGTGCCCTCAGCACACAGCCGTCTCCCCAGAGCGGCCGTGCACACACAGGCCCCCTTCGTAGCGTCTGATTCACCTTCCTGGGCGATGCTGTTGTCTGTGGCATCCTGTGACGCTTACCTATACATGAGTACACGCCGCTTTTTAGTGGAGTTTTTGCTGCCAAAGTCATAGGAAGTTCTGTGTCACTTACACTCTGATGAGTGAATCGTCACCAGCTCAGTTTACCCCAGGTCCTCACATTAGGCCCCTTGGAGGTCACTCTTTGCCCACTTGCCGAGAGAGAGAGAGAGAAAGAGAGAGAATTTTAACCAAGGTGGTGAACAAGTTAGAGAATTTCATTTATTGTGCTTTTCAGAGTTATAGAAACAGGCTGTTATTAAATTGAAAAACATAGGGTGAAATTAAAATTGAAACTAGTTTTACTGTGGAAGAGCCCTACAGATAACTGGGCAGAGCCTGTGGGTTGGGTCATCTCATGTGTAGGCTTCTGTGACGTTTTAGAATTCACTGTAGGATATTTTTAGGACAAGTCCCACACATAGGGACAGTCAAGAAGAAACATTCTCTCCCAACTATAAGCATAGAGCATATCTGCAAATAACTGTAAAAGTCTGTTCTCACAAGTCCTCGAAAAGTTTAGAATTCAGTCCATTTCCACTAGTAAAACTGGTGAAGTTCACACAATAGGAATTATTGTTTACTTCTTTAGTTTCCAGTTTTCATTCAGCCCAATAACCTAATCTGTGGTCTGAGAAAAGAAAGGGAAATATTCCTAAAATGTAGTACAAAGTAGAACAAAGTGGAAGGAAAAGGAGTCTGTGATTTTAAAAAATAATTACCAACAAAATTAAGCTGTATAGTCAAAACCAAACAATGTGAGGCTCTCTTAAAGAGTTAGAGCTGGAAAACCACAATTATGATCGGCTTTTGACATTTACCTGTAATAAATCAGATGTGACTACTTTTCTTAATTCAAGAATTTACTTTGGAGTAATGTCATTTTGTACGTTAAATGCTTGAAAATGTCCTCCTTGAATCGTTTGCTCCATCCGCCGATGGTGTGGTTGTGTATAGACCTGTGTTTGAATCCCACAGTGAACTGTACACACTTGATCAGTGTGATGTGCCCTACGTCACTGTCACACGGCAGCCATGACACCGCACAGGTGCCCAGCAGTGACTTCCCCTCTAATTTAATTAGTGGTCTTGACATCAGTGGGCCTTCATGAGAATAGCATCAACTGTGCGTTTTGACGGCTAACAAGCCAGCATTTCCTCACTCAGGTGTGTGGAAATGTGGTGACAAGCAGCGGTGCCCCACGGGCCTAAATGTCGTGTGTTTGCTCCCGTCAGCACTTAGCCATTCCCCAGAGTCTGGGTGACTTTAAATTCTCCCTCTGAGACTGCAAACCCTCCTTGGGTTTCCTAGCACCGTATTGTACAGGAAGCTCCGTTTCCCGGTCGAAATGGTAACTGTGTCCCTCCCACCGTTTTTAACCATGTCACCCGCCACTTCATCTGTGTTCACCCTCATGTTTCCACGCCTGTGTTTAATTGTGACCTCAGATTTTAAACAGTTTAGGTGTGTATGAGAAACACCCACAAATTTTCTCTTTAAAGAGTTTTTTCCCAGAACATTATGGAAAATATGACTTAATTTTCCTCCCTGAATTGGGAAACCTCCACTCCTGTGTACCAGTGACTTAAAGTGCAGACTTGCAAAGAACAAAACACAGCTCAAATTGTTTCATCTGAACACGTCACAACCCTGTGTGGATGTCAGTTTTGTTAGAACCAGATTAGCTTGATTCCACAGTTTGTAGTTCCAGTGTAAAGCTAAGACGATGTGGAAAGCATCATTTTTGTTTGTTTCATTTGAACCTTCATTGATTTGTCTTCCGTGGGATTATGCGCCTTTAAAACGTTCTCCTCTCATTTTGCCCTTGTGTCTTTGCAGTCATTGTATACAGCAGATTCTAGAAAGTGTAAATCATTGTCACCTAAATGGCATAGTGCACAGAGACCTGAAGGTCAGTATGTGGAGTCGGCAAATCTGAATCGAAGCAGCTTCCGTTGTTTTCTGGGGAAAGGGCAGAGGGTGGGGTTTGTCGTTCCCAATGTCTGCCTAAAATGACCGGGTGACGGAGTCATCGTGCATGACGCTTCTTTCAGTCGCTCGTCTACAGGCTGAGCGTACATCATAGCAGCCCGGGCGGGCGGGAGTGAGAACAGCCGTCCGGTCCAGCCATGAGCCCCTGAGGCGGTTTGGGCAGGCTGCCCGCACCCTCCCGCCTGGGCCTGGTGACTGGCCTGTGATGTACGTCGCCTGTAGATTAAACGCCACTTCTGTTCTGAGACCACATGGCCGTGGCAGGACAACGGGCCGTGCACTGCTCCCTGGAGGCTGATGAGCCCTCAGCCCGGGCGCCAACTGCCAGCTACATGAGCACCAGGAGTCCAGGGTGCACCCGAAGGGAACTTAACGGAGCCCTGGTGCTAGCATGACCATTTGGAGGGACCCGAGAAAAACGGGAGAGAACTGGGAAGCGCTTTTCGGGGTGCGGGGCGGGAAGAAGGGGGACCCAGCAGCTGTGAATTGAACCTGTGTTCCAGTTTATTTCCCGTTAAGTGTTGACAGCCAGGAACTCACTGAGCTCCTGGATGAAAGGAGCATCTTTAGGTGGGTTTTCTGGACCACGGGGATGCACACTGGCTCCCGTCTGGCACGATCCCAGTTGCTCTGAGGCACTCGTCACTCACGGGAGCAGTGAGTGTGCCCCGAGGTGGCGGGCTCGGCCCGTTGTGCTGGCACGGCCGTGGTCTCCGCGTGCTGCGCTCGGACTAACACTGCCCCTGGTGTTTGCATGCAGTCATTGCATTCAGCAGATCCTGGAGGCTGTGCTGCACTGCCATCAGATGGGCGTGGTCCACCGGGACCTGAAGGTGAGTGACGGACGCCCGGCCGGCCCCACGGCCCTTCAGCTGCAGTTATGTCTGTGCAGGCTCAGCGTGGCAGGGAGGCTGTGTGGGCCCATCCCAGCAGGTGACGCACACCCGTGCCCTCGCCACACCCCCTCTCTCCTCGGGCACACCTGGCACTCGCGTGTCGTACTTCATCCGGAGAGAGCGAGCTCCTGGGTTGACAGTAGACAGGCTGCTGTGTGTCTTTCCTCCCCAGCAGGGTCCCAGCACCTAGTGAGCCCGAGTCGGACTGCTGAGCTCTCCATTCCAGCAAGCACGAGTCGCGCTGCACACACCTAACACTGCAAATGGCTGTCAGGGTGGCACAGTAAGCGGGGCAGCGTCGCGAGGCAGGTTTGGCCCGAGTGCCTGGGAGCTGACGAGCCCCGTTCTGTCACCTCTCAGAACCCACAGCACTTAAAGCGCACGCACGCTTTGTGGTCCCCGAGGACACATTCTCAGAGTTGCCACTTGAAACGTTTTACTCCATGTTGTGACATTGTAAGCCCACTATAAATGCCAAAGATGAAAGTACAGATCCCCTCCGAGATTTTTACAACACATTTTATGGGCTGTGATATCAGACATTTGTACATGTCCCAGCTCACTGAGCCCTTCACACGCTGGGACTTTAATCAGAAATGGCCTTGGGCCTGGGATGTGACTGGAGGAAGGGTGTTTCCTGACATATGAGCTGAAGTCAGATTAAAAACTCAGGCAGGGGGTTTCTAGGAGGCAATGGCATCGCCTGGGGGGCTTCCTTCCAGAAAAAGTGCTTTTGCTCCATTCTCACTTGCCCCAGTTTCATGAGAGGACAGAGACACACCTCTGATGGCGCCGGTAGGACCCCTGTGCTTGCCTGTCCCACTGCTGACGTGGAGACCCTCCAGCCGCGGCTGCTTCTCAGAGCTGGTCTCCTGCACTCTGAGTGCGGGACGTGTGTTGGCTCCGCTTGTGCCGCTCACTGACCGAGACATTAACATGCAAACAACAGGCTGCCGACATTTCTCGTTACCAGGCTTGACACAAACGGTTGCCCTGGCTGTTCCCGGCCGCACGTTTCTGGTTCATACCCTGATTGCTCTGTTAATTCACACACCCTACAGACATGTAATGCACAGTTTAATTTGTCCATATCAGTTAGAGAAACCTCAGGCAGTTAAGTTTTTCGTCGTTATCAAAAGTGCCCGTGAGCAGACAAGCGCTGAGTGCTGTCTGTGAAGTGCTCCCGGCACCGGTCTGTTCAACACTGTCCCTCTCCGGGACGCAGGGTAGGACCTCAACGAGTGAATGCCTGTGGCACATCCCATCAGTTTAGGAGAGAGCGGTGTTCTAGCAAAAGCACATTCATATACAAAAGGCAACACTGAAGAAAGTCAATTGTCATGTGTGTTGATTAATATTGAATAAAGAGAGGAGTAGCATGTCCTCTCGGACACAGCGAGAGCCTGAAGAACTGTTGGAATGTTTCAGTAGCTGCCATGCGTGGGGGCTCGTTAGACAGGGAGCCAGCAGGTGGACAGTCATCAGACCTAGATACCAAGCTGTGAAGGCGCCTGGAGAATGTCCCAGAAACGTGGTTCTGGTGGGGACATTAGCGGCCAGGGAGCTGGTCGGTGGCATCAGGCAGGGCCGGCGGGGCGTGAAGCACAGCTTCTGTGGAAGGCGCAGCTAGTGTTGGGCCCCAGGGGCAGACCCACGCAGCACTGGCGTCAAGCCACAGTGACATGACTATGTCCCTGTCGCCCAGCAATACGGGTCTAGCCTTGGACGGACTGGGGTCAAGGCAGGACCTTAACGATAGAGGTGGTGATCACTGCTGTGTGTCCTGTGCTGAGTTCCGTGACTCTTCACAGCACCTTCACGAGGGGCAGTTAGGTCGCCCCATGGTGCCCAGGGCGATGCAGCAACCGAGTGACACAATGTCTCCGGGGTCACTCTGCCAGCATGGTGTGTCGTGCCCAGGGTCACAGGCCCAGGAGCTCTAGTTCTCAGTTCAGTTTAGTTCGGAGAATTGAAAACCGAAGAAGAGGTGAAATTATGATGGGAAAATCATTGTGCCAGCGACATTAAGAATTACTTAAGAAATGGTTCTAAAGTTAGTGAATCAGAAGATTTTTAAAAATCCCACCTGTGGGTCTTCCAGAGCTATGTGGAGTCCGAATCCGTAGGAATAAGAGACCTGGGTGTGTTTCAGGCGTGACATGGAGCAGGGACGATAGACTGGACTGCAAAGTGAAAGCGCCCTGCGTGGGGGTCAGTGAGCCGGCGCCGGCCACGGGCTTCAGAATTGGGGCCCAGAGACGCATCTGCCACGTTTCACTCGGGCCAAATCACGGCAGTCACTCTGGAGTATTTACGATCCATTGTTCCTGACGGCGAGTTACTGGGACTCGGTGTTGGACGTTTGTGAACCAATGATCGGAAATTCAGGTACCAGAGAAGAAGAGGCATTCATCAGACGTTTGTGAGCGCCGGCGAAGGCCCCGCCTGACTCTGGGCGTCAGTTCAGACCAAGCCAAGAGCAGGCCCGGGTGCGTGGAGCCGCCAGGCCGCTGGGCTCAAGTCACTTAAAAGTATGTGGAGAGCAGGTCGGGGCTGCCCTCGCAGAAAGGAGGGCGCACCTCAGACGAGCACTGCATCCAGAAACATAGCAGGTCAGAGAGAGGCTGCAGTGACAAGTGACAACCCTGATGTCACAAGAAGTAAAGGAACCTGGAGCCAGGAGAGCTTCTGTGAACCGTTACAGAAGTAACTCAAAGGCGACCATCACAGAACTGCGCTTTTCCCCACCACTGTATTTCACACAAAGTGGTGAAATTTCCTCAGTTCAGAGTGTATCAGAAACAGTTACTACAGCACTTGATGAACAGCAGTCAGAATAGGAGGGTCCACGCACACAAGGGGACCTTTCGGCAACAGAGAGGCGCCCGTGAACTCCCTGAAGGAGAACGTCACCGTTCCTGAAGCCAGCCTCCTGCAGGGCCTGTCGCTGATGGGGACGCATTCGATGGAGGGAGGGCGTGGGATCGATGGGTGGGTGGGTGGATAAAGAGATTTTAATGGAGGTAATAATTCTGGAGACTTGGGGGGTTTTTTAAAGACTATTTCATAGGAATAAAATTAAATTTATGACCAGAAAGGAAAGGAATTTGTTTTCTGGGGGAATGTATGACACACAGTCAGTAAATTCTTGCTAACCATGGGTAGCAGACATACCAAATTGTGAATTCTACATTTTGAATAATTATAAAATCATAGTTGTTCCACTTTTCTCAGAACCACGTTTAGGTGAAACTTTAAAGAACTTATCATTTATGTATAATTTACATCTAGGTGTTTCAGAAACAAACTATGTTTGTGATAAAATTCAAAATTCATTCAGCCATCCACCTCTTCTTCACGGAGCGCCTTGCGTGTCAGAGGCACGAGGTAAGTGGCGCCTCCTTGTGGTGACTGCTGTTCAGCCAGCCCGACAGTGTGCTGATAATGTGAAAATAAATCAAGACACAGGAATGGAACAGAGTGGTGCTCACGAGCTCGCTCAGGTGCGCATGATGACGGAAACAGTGCCCCTCCTCCCAGGCATCCAGCACGTGCGTCAGCTGGAAACTCCCTGTGCTGAGCACGCAGATTCAGGCTCCCACTCCGTGTGAAAATCAAAGCAGAAACCCCCGTACCACATGCACAGAACAACGCGTGCTACGTGCCTGAGTGAGCTCGATAGTCAAGCTTTTTGATTCATGCACAGACTCATTTAGTGTATTTCTAGGAGCTGCGTTCACACCTCCTTTGGCAAAGCAGAGTGACAGAAAATGCCGAGCCCGGAGTGGTTCGCCTCCCGCTGAAATGCCGAGGCTCTGACAGAGGGAAAAAGCCTAAAGGGGCAGTTTCACTTCTTAAAAATGCACTTCCAAGGGTTTGCAAGAATCAGATAACATGGAATGATAAATAAGTAACGCTGTGTTTATAACCGTCATAAAGAAAAAAGCGTTAGAAAGTAAAACAGGTGAGTTCACTACACATAACCGTCCCTAACGTTTGGGCTTCGCTGCTGGATGGTGGCCCGCACGCCCGTGCAGTGAGCCCTGAGGGCACGCTCACCTCTGCGGAGTCCGTTTCTTAGCCAAGACCGCACTGACTTAGGAGTCTTCGCACGGGCCCACGGGACTGGAGAGAAGCAAGATCAAAACTACGTCTTTTTCCTAAGCTCTCGCCTTGTTTATTTGCATATGGGCAAAGTATTTCTGAGTACTTCCAGTTCTTCTCCAAAGTGTCTACGGAATGGGCTGCCTTTTGAAAATGAGCCATTTTTAGACCATCATGGAGTTTGCTCAGCGCCATGTCTTTGGAAAAAGCAATCAGGAAGCCTGGTTTCAGGTCTTCACTTCATCTTTCTGAACGTCCCTCCCTCACTTTGAAACTTTGACCTGTTTTATCTCCAAGTCCAAAAAGTGAGTCCAGCAACTTGCCTCCGTACTTTGAGATACTCGACCAGGTTCAGGAAAATCTCACATCACAGGGAAGTGGCCGGTGTGCCCATGTGGACACACAGGACAACTTGCCAACAGTTGCTGCTGATCCAGCTGATGTGCTATAAATGGCCATTGACATGGAGACCAGATGTCATGGAAAATCCTGCATCATTAGGAAGCAGTGGGGTGGGAGCGGAGCTGTGTGTGATCACAACTATAGACTCTATTTAAAAACCAACCAGAAAGTGATTGCATTGTAAGACTTCAGAGATAATACATACAGATTGACATAACATACTGCGTCTAGTTTAGGAATGCAGGCATTCCCTCTTTACAAACATCGTCTCAAACACCGTTCTGCACACTGGAAGGACCTCTGCCTGGAAGGTGACAGCTAACCAGGGTGTGTATATCGTCCCATTCGGGGCGCAGAGGCCTGCGCTGAAACCCAATGGGACCTTACAGTTCCATGTGCACTCTCGGGGGGCGTGGTTCATGCTTACGATGTTGACTGGGGAGATGTAGGGACGGATTACTCAGCTCCAAGAACCTGCGGGCTGCCAGGTTCCGCAGAGCTGACAACGTCAGGCCCAGGACACACACCCAGCTGTTCACTCTTCCTGGGTCGTCAGGCTGCCCTTGTCCTTCGCGGTGCTGTGCCCATGTTCAGCCACAGCTGCACTGGAAGGCCTGTGTTGTCATCGCCCTTTCTGATTCATTTTAGAAAATCCAAGCGGCGGAATAGTAGCCACCAAGAGCTCAGTGGAGACGCTTGTTAGGGATGGGCCACCAGTCAGCTGGAGACTCTCCCGTCTCCGCCTGTGGAATGGAGCCACGTGCTACACCCTGTGCGTGGCACTCACAGTTTGACCCCACCTACTTGCCGGTGACCCTGTGTGGTACAACGTAATTTTAAGGTGGTGGCGGTACGAATGGTCCAACTGTATGACGGTGGGCTTATGCAAACTGATGCCTTCTGGAGAGTCGCGTATAAACCAAGCTTGCGTGCGATTCTCAATGTTCCATTAGAGTCGGCCTTGTGATGAAGCTCTTTATAAAGCAGATAATGCTTTAATATTGTCGGGAATCATCCTGGGGTTTTAGGCTCATTCCATAGCTCTGTGTCTTCGGTTTGCCTAAAAGATACCCGTACCATGAAGCCATTTCAGGGCTGTTACCTTGTAAACCCAGGCTGCACCCTTGCAGTTGCCCGGCGTCTTCCTGCCTGTAACTGCAGCTGAACAGCCATCGCGGGTCTGAGGTTAAACACCGATGCGCATGGGTCTGTCACTTCCCGAGTGACCCCTGAGGCCCTGCAGGGAGGCCCTCCAGGTTGCCTCCAGGGTCAGTCTCAGTGTCACTCAGAGGCCGTGCCCAATGGACCCGCAGATGCCCGTCGCCTCTGAGCAGGTGGCGCCTGCTGCTCTAAGGTTGAAGCCCCAGTGCTGCCCCGAGCTCTTTGGTTTAGTGATGAGGCTAGAAGCACATTCAATTTTTTTACGTTTACTCACCGATGACACTGGCATTTGTTCATCAAACTTCGTAACCGCTTGCTTTAAAAGCCCTAAAGTGACTGATTTCCCAAGTGATGGCACTCTTCCTTGAATGCATCTGTTTGGCGAATCAGGGCAGCTATGTGTCAGCAGAGAGCCCTGATGCCTCAGTGCTTTTGAATGTGAAGGTCACAAAGAAATAAACGATTGCTTACAGTTTGACGTGGTTTTTCCAAGTTATTTGTTCCATAAATTAATAGCTGGAAATGACTTCTTGATTGAATGAGAAAAATGTATGAATGGAGTGAGCCATAAATTTTAGTTGCGAAAATAAAACATCAAGTATCAATCATATAACATGTTAGTTAAACACTGTAGTGTATCGATAAATAACCAGAGTTTCAAGTAATTTCAAATGTTAGGTTTTGCTAAAGTTATTTCAGCAAGAATACTTCATATTCGTGAGACCTCTTCATCCCCACATCCAAATGAAACTATCGTGTGTTTAGTGCTGAGGTCATTCGAAATCCCATCAGCCCTAAGCATTACTTTACAGAGGTCTCCACCTTTGCAGTCACAGCTGTCCCACCGTAGGGACAGTGATGAATCTGATGGCAGTGAGCAGGAGCCTGAAGAAGCCGGGGACCCGATTAAAACTTACTTCTTGCAGACTCAGCCTAATTTCTTCCAAGTTCTGGTTATGAGTCTTTTGCTAATTTGCATGGCTGGCTTAATTTATCAATTAAATATTGGTTTAGGCTGTGTCTAGACAAGGTCAAAGCAACCAATAGGATCGACGAATTCAGTAAGAAAAAATAGCCAATTTCATGAAAAAAATATGAAATTCACTGTTAACATCTAAACAAAACCGATTTGATTGAATTTTTCAATTTTCAGACAATTGTTTTGGCTCTTGTAGAGTCCATTGTTCCCCAACTTTTTCCAGTCTGAGACACACCTCCAAATTTGCTGGGTCTCGCTCATCCCAAGGCAAAAAAATTGCTGAACCGCTCTGTCACATGTACCCACACCCAGTGCAGCTGTGCGGTCGCCAGGTGCCTGGGAACAAATAGGCTTCATGAGGCAGCCTCCTCTTCCCGGCCACCGTCCCCTCTGATTTCTGCGTGTCCACACAGGCGGTCCCGGGCAACGCCAGGCTTCGTCCTGGTGCCCGTTGTCGGAGTACCGGTGTGTCTCGAAGGTCTGGTTGGGAAACAGTGGGATAGAAACAGCCTTATTCCAACACTGAGTTATTAGTGCCCAAGGTCCCAAGAAAACAAAAATGCACCTTTCTCTTAGTATTGCAAGATGTAAAAACAAAATATATAAGTCATGCTTTGAATTGCACTCTGAAGATAATGTAAATTATGTTTTAAAAAGCTAACTATAACATTTGGCAAATAGTAGAACTCTCTTTCTGCCTTTAAGAATAAATGGATTCTTAAAGACAGCAATTTTAATGCATAATTCCGAATAAGACTCCAAAATCTGTACAGAAATTGTTAGGAAACTTCAAGAAATCAAAATGCCTACATTTGGGTCCAAACTCTTGAAGCCAACTAGGATTTCATTTGCACAGTTTCATTTGCCAAATGTCGGTAGATTGGTCCAACTCTGTCATCGTTTGCCAAGTTCCCTTCCGCTGGCAGTGTGTGTGCTCCGCCAGGCTGCTAAGTCTGCCTGTGGCCAGGGCTGGAGCGCAGCGGCCCCTGGAAGCATGTGAGCAGGTCAGGACGGGGCTCCCCGCGTTTGGTCTCCCCAAGCGCACCCCGCTTCTGCCCAGCATCTCCCCGTGCGTGATTGCATCTGCCTGGACCTGCACACATGGTCACTTTTCGCCTTTCCAGCCGTCTTTCCCCTGGGGTTTGGGAAGGACCGTCTGGGAGACAGGGCCGTGCACGCCTCTCTGCTTCTTTCTTAATCTTATAAAATGTTGTTAATTTTGAATAGTCACTTAAAACTGGTTCTCACCGCAGTCTTCCTTTTTCTTTCTAAATAAAGCCTGAGAATTTGCTTTTAGCTAGCAAGTCCAAGGGAGCAGCCGTGAAACTGGCAGACTTCGGCCTGGCCATTGAAGTTCAAGGGGACCAGCAGGCGTGGTTTGGTGAGTAGGACCTGGCCTCCTGCCGCCCCGGTCACTCCCGCCCACTTCCGCACAGAGCAAACGCAGAGTTCATCCCACCAGCATGGCGCGTTTGAAGGCGTCGGGCCTTCGTAAGCACTTAATTCTGCTGACATTAAAGGGCACAGAATCAAGAAATAATTGAAGGGAAAATATTACAGGAGAGCAATGACATGCAGACTTTCCTCTTAAAGGATGGGTGAGAAAGTGGGTCCTGTGCTCAGATTTGCTAAGACGGGTGCAGTGCTCAGAGTTCATGCTTTATTCGTGAGGAAGCTGTGATGCTGAAAGCTGCTGTGTAAACGGCAGGCACTTGGAGCACTTGCAGAAAACAGGACGTATCTTTGTGGTTAATATACGTAGATGCACATGATGGGTTTCTCCAAAGTGCCTATTTCCTCAAATTTTGAAATTGCTATATGATGAACTGTGTTTCCTTACAACTAAGGAAGAGAGTAACTCTAAACAAATTTAAATCATAGTGTTTCTAACCAGGCTTATGGGCTGTTTCCATGTTTAGGCTGATAAGTTATTTTACCCACTGACTCCTGCCTGTTTCTGCCGTTTCCCGGCATTAGCCCATTTCTCATGCAGCGTCCAACAGTGTAACCTCTCTGCAAGCCCCCGTCTCATTTCTTTTCTGAGTTTCTGTGTATTGAGGTTAGATAAAACTTTTAAAAGCCTTTACTTCTCACTGCTTTTCCCCTGAACAAGAAGCAGAGAATTCAAAAGGTGCCTGCTTGGGCCCAACACCTGCCCAGAGCCCCTAGCATGCGCCTCGTCCCGATCTGCCCCGCGGGACGGTGATGGCGGCAGCTCCAGTCCCCGTGCCGGCAGCCTAGGCTACGACCTTATTTTATACCACCCGTGCTGGGCCTGACTGACCATCCCCAAGGTCAGTGCTGCCTCTTCCCCTCGGTCCCTCCTTACCCAGCAGATGAACTTAACACCTCCAGACTTGGCATCTGGTTTGTCATGTGTTGACATCCGAATAAGTTTGATCCTGTTAACTGCAAACCAAGGGAGGCAGAACGTGGGACTCTGTGACTGAGCCGCAAAGACGCCCTCCTGTCCTGGGCAAGAGTGCCGCTGACCCAGATACAGAACACACGACAGGGAGCAGCGGGGCTGTCACCAGGGTGGGCAGAGGCGCGGGGCAGACGGCAGGTCCTGCCCTGCAGGTGCTGACACCTCCACCTCGGCCACTGCCTGCCACGAGTGTGACACTGGACAGGCACCTCTGGGGACTGTCGGTGATGGGGTAACAGTGCCACCGCCCTCCCGCGTGAATGAGGGTTTGTTCCCTTGGCCAATAAGGCGATGGAGGCACCAGAGGAGGGCTCGGCTCTCGCAGAAGCCAGCTCACGCTCAAGTGTGAAGCTCGCAGGCGGCACAAGGGAGCCTGTGTCCTGGGGGAGGGTTTGGCGTTTAGAAGCTCCAGGGACGTGGTGACCGTTTCCCGTGAGAGGGACGAAACTGGCTCCTGTTAGGGAATGCCGATCTCAGCGGCAGTGTGGCGGATGGTTAAGGACAGGGAGCCTGAGCATAAGAAACGGTTAGGCTGAGGCAGAATTCATGCTCCACGTGAGGACGGCTTGAACAGAGGAGGACATGGGAGCAAGCCCCAGATGACACACAGGGCCAGGCACTCGGAACGCGGGGCCTGTGTTTGAGGACACGGAAGCTAGAGGTTGGTCCTGTGTAGACAAAGCAGGACCCCGCTGTGTGAGACTTGAGGTCAAGTCTGTGTAGCAGGATGCCAGGAGGGGACTTCGGCTCAGGGCGGGAGGGGGCCTTACGACCAGGGCTGAGGCCGAACCTTGACACTAGCCACGCGCTCGATGTTCCGAGAGTGTGGGCTCCGAGTCCGTGTCCGAGCCCGCGCGGTGCTGTGTCCTCTTCCAACCCCCCAGGCTGTGGGAAGCCACGACTGGTGTGGGGACATCCCGCACTTCTGTCCTGGTTGTCAGGAGGCCGCGTGCCTCGTCCACAGGACGCGCCATGGGGACTGCTCAGTGAGTTTTAAAAACCATCTCGGTGTGAATCTCCATGTCACGGTTCTTTGTCACAGTGACAGCCGCTGAGCGACGCAGTGAGTGGAAGAGTGGATGGCAGGCTTGTGAAAGCGAGAGCATCCAAATAAAATAAACTACACGGTTTCCCAGTTGCGGTGACTCACGTCTTAGAGCAGGCCGGCCCCAGGCGAGCAGTGACATCGGCAGCCGGGGTCCCCTCTCCTGCCCTGTGCGGCGCCCTGAGCGGCTGTGTTGCGTCCTTGTTCGGGACCCGAGGAGAGCAATGACCATTGAGGGGTGCGTTTTAAGTTCTGAGAGAATTCGGCATCTGAAGTGCCCAGCAACGTGGTTTGTGTTGGAGGGCGCACCGGGGCCTGAGCAAGGGGCTGCTCCCGGGGCCGGAGCAGGCGCGCGAGGCGCTGCGTGTGCCGGGCTTCCCCCAGCGGTGGCTCAGGAGGAGGGGCGCGTTTCAGCGTGAAGGACTTGTTTTGATACTTATTCAGTATTATCTGCCATCACAGTCTCATTTTTTTACTCATTAATTTTATCTTTGAAAATGTAACATCAGTGTCGGCGGGGGTGGGCTTTTTATTTTAATAAGAAAAGTGAAACCCTTTCTTTATTATGTGTAATTATGGCAGAGCTTCAGGCTTTTAAATAATTTTATTTTAATGAAATAAGATGTTTATTACAAATAAAAAAAATTAAGTTTTGCTAGACATTATAGAAGCTTCTTATTGGGTTTGATTTTTTTTTGGGGGGGGTCATTTTTAAGTCCAAATAGTTGTTTTTCCCCCGTTCCTGCTTTCTTCCTGGCCCCGACCTAGGGACCCTGGGATGCTTGGTGACACCTTGTGTCACTAGACTTGGTCAGGTGGCTGGAGCGTTTACCACAGAGACAGGGCCACACGCAGCCCGTCCGTCACTTCTGCGTACTGCGCGTTTCCAGTTCTCGTAGCTGCTGGGAGACAGGATACCTGCCACGGTCCTGTTTCACGGAAGGCTGGCTCTATTGGTTGCTAGTAGGTCTTTTTAAGCAATAGTCAGGGTTTTTTAATGGCAACGCGTTGCATTGGCTACAGTAAGTGATTCTGTTTTCTCTGGGTTCCGCTTCCCTTGTTGGCTTTTAGGAGGAGAAAATCTTGCTGCCTCTGAGGAAGGATGGCTTTCGTCATTCCTCACGGGTAGCAAGGATCGTGATGAGCTCAATTCTCACGCGTTGAATCGGCTGAAGAAGGGGGGGCCTCGGTATCCCTGGGTCCAGAGAGCTCAGGGGTGCGCCAGTTCGTGACGTGCCCGCATTTGGACATGTGCTCGTGTTTTTAGGGAGTAGGGCCCCCTCCGGCCCCACCCCGGCCGCTGAAATGACCATGGAGCCTAATGAGAGTGAACGTGCTGGGGTTCTTGTGGTGTTTGTCCCCAGAAGAGGTTTCTAATGACTTACATTAAAATGGTGCTGTCCGTCTGACACAGACCTACTTCCCTCTTGTCCCCTGAGGTGAAATGTCGTATCAGTGTCAAGGTCCTAGCCTGCCTTCAGGTCCCCGTTTCGTTTCTCTGCAGCTGAGGCCTGAGGCCTGTGGGCGGGGCCTGTGAACTGAGCGACAAAAGATTGATTGACAGGAGGAAAGCACACTTATTTTATGTGGTGTCAACACTTTAATTTTTATGTGCGCACAGAGGCCTTTCTAGAAAAGAAATGAAAACCCAGAGAGAGACGAGAACAGGGCCTTACCTTCCGTTTTAACAGTGATGAACAGAGAGACAACAACGGAAAAAGAGAGAGGTTTGGGCGGGGGCCGTGAGTCCTGGGGACGTGACTGGGGGACCGGTGGGGACGGTCGGGGAGAGGACGCGTTTCGGTGGGTTTGTCTGTACCACCTCCTCTCGGATGTTCTCCCCTCCTGCTGGAGGGGGGCACGGTTCTCACAGGACATGTCTCCTGCTTTGGGGTAGAAAGGGGGCCTCGAGGGGTCTTTCCTGCACCTGCTGTGTCTCAGGTGTCTTGGGCCCGCACGCCGTGGTGGTGCGTTGGGTGGCGGTTCCCCGTCCCCTTCACACAGGTGACAGGGTGAGGACAGCTAACGGGAGGCCTGGCGTGGGCCCGACGGCAGTACTGGGGTCTGGCCTGGTGTCTGCACAGGCCACGGACTGTTTTCTAAGCTACGGACCAGGACAGACCAGTGTCTGTGCTGCCGTAAAGCAGCCTCCATTATTTCAGTCTCCAAGAGCCTTGTCCTGTGGGACAAACGTCGGCAGACGAAGCAGCGCAGACGAAGGGCTCTCCCTGCTCCTGCGCCCACAGCGTCCTGGCATGCGCCCTGACTCCGCTCTCTGTCTCCCTCAGGTTTCGCTGGCACGCCCGGCTACCTCTCTCCGGAAGTGCTACGGAAAGACCCTTACGGGAAGCCGGTGGACATGTGGGCATGTGGTAAGGAAGCACGCTTTTCTGCACCTTTTCTAGAGCAGCTTTTTTCCGTTGGAAGCTGATGTGACACAGAGGGGTGGTTCTCAAACTGAGTGACACCAGGGCCACCCGGAGGGAGGTGGGGGCACTGACTCCTGTCTGTGGCTGAGCAGGTCGGACTCTCCCACAAGCTCCCAGGAAATGCAAATACTGCTGGTCCCGGCAGCACGTCCCCAGTCGCCCTCTCTGTGCTGCTGGCCTGTCCTAGTCCGAGCAGCCCGCACACGGAGCGTGTTTGCACAGGGCGCTCAGCAGGGCTCAAGTGGAAACGGTGCCCCTTAGAAAGGTGTGAAACTGATGCCCCTGTGGAGACTGACCTTGACCTAGGCCGTCACCACAGCTCTGCTCCAACACGTGTCCTGCACCGCGCAGGGCTGTGTGACGGGCTCCTGGCTGCTAACACGGCAGGATGCTCTGGACCGTCCCTTCCTGGGCTGTGGCCACAGAGCGGTCCTGAGGCTCCCGACAGAGTCACTGCTTCCATCCCAGACAGTGCGGCGCCGTGCTGCACACGGGCTCTGTGGCCGTGGCTGTTTGTCATAGGCCTGGAGGACTTGATAAAAAACTTTGATTCTGAACCTAACTTTAGATTTGGTTTTATTTAAAAGCATAAATAAACTCTCAATTATAGTTGACATACAATATTATTCAACATCAGCTTGGGATGTACAATGCAAGGGATTAGACAGCATAAATGGGTAACTACAATATTGCCTCAGGGATATGAAAGACAGTTCGGGGATTATAATAATGTTGTAAATATTTTGTAGATGTCAGATGGTCACATGTCTTGTTAGGGAGACCACTTCATGGATGGAGTAGAGGCTTGTTTGCTAACCTTTTTAACTACTGGCTATTTTGTAATAATGGGATCTCACATCCATGAAGTGTGAGGTAGCTTATTGGACGGGGCTCTAACTTTTTCTTGACTGGAAGAGGGGAAAATGAAGGAAGAAAAAAGCTGTTTTTCTCCTTGTTGTCTGAGAATATGACTCTCAAAAACTGTAAATAAATATTGAATGGATGGGTGGATGGATGGTAGGTATGATATGGATGGATGGATGGATGGATGGATGGATGGATGGATGGATGGATGGACTGATGGGTAGGTATTGTATGTACACTTGAGAACATATGTGTGCACACATGCACACACACACACTCACACAGATCTCACGAGTGACTCTTTAGAGACTTAGAGCCAACAGGTGCCTCATGGACTCCAGCCCGCTTTGCCATGGACAGAGCCGCCATTACCTTTGCTCAGTTTCAGCCTTTCCTCTGCCTTTTTCACAGTTTCCTACAAACAGCCGCACCCCTTCGTGCTGAGCCCCGCCCCAGTGAAGCGTGTTCCGTATATGCTGCCACCTGCCATGCTCTCTAGAGATTGTGTGGCATCTTCTAATTGTGCCTAGAAGTGCGCTTGGGGTCACACACCAACGACAGCAATGTTTTAGATAGTCTAATACTACATATTTGGGGAGGCGAGCCCCACTGCCCACTGCTAGAAGCATCGTCATAGATTCTTCTGCCTTTCGTTACATGTCTAGGTCACTGCTGTGTTTGGGACATTGTTTTACCCTTTTGCTCTGTGTCACCTCAGATGACACGAAAGGCACATTGAATTCACTTGAACTATAAGGCGGTGTCCCCTTCCTCACCCTGCTGTAAGACCCCCCCCCAGAGCGATGCACAGCCTGCCGGTGGCGCTCGCCCTGGGGTGTGTCTGAGGGAGACAGCCATTCGTCACACTAGCTCTTGCCATTGTGTGACTCCTCCTTTTCAAGGCTGGAGGTCAGGTGGCAGGTAGACACACCCAGGTGACAGGGAGCTCCGAGGGGCCGTGGAGCAGCCTGGAGGCCCTTCTCTGTGAGCTGAGCTGGGAGCACTCCTCACGGAACATTGTCTTCCTGCAGTTGATACAGAGAGTGAAGGATGACATTGGAACAGTGGCTAAAGGGAGCCTTACATGATTTTATTAGAAATAGGCCTCTCTCTGTACACAGAAACCTCAGGTACTTACTGCTACTGCCTTGCTTTTTTAACACAGAAAATAGTGTGACCTGTTCTCGGTCTTTGAAAGCAACTCATCCATTACTGGAAAGTAAATAATAGATGTTACCAAAGCGAGAACATAGCCTGTGTTCTGCCATTAGCAACAGTAAATTGGTTTTGATGGCTTTCTTATACGTATAGCTATTTCCGTAATTCCCTACTAGGGTGGGCAAGTGCTGTTTATTGATGTCACTGAATCACTGGCTTTTAACAGGACTTCCTTCTGCATCCTGGCTTAAAAAATAATAAATGCAAGCCTGTAAACATAGCACACGCGCGCACACACACACACGCGCGCGCGTGCACATGCACACACACGCACGCACGCGCGCGCACACATGCACACACCTTACTACTTCTCTACCTGAATTAGGCATCGCTCAGATCAGGTATGAGTGACAATAACTTAAGACTGTCACAGAATACCATGATGTTTGCGGGACCCTTGGAGTGTTATGGGACATTTACTGCACGGTCACTTCAGGTTCAGCATCTATGTGGTTTCTGGGCCTACACCTTTCATGGTTCTGCTGGGGTGAGTCAGCACTAGTGCTTTTTAACAAAGCCTTTCCCATTTTGAAGGCTGAAGCCTCCTGCACAGCTTGTTTGTTACCCGTCCTGGGATGCCTGTCCCTGGCCCGTCCCAGACATGCTCCCAGGGTAGTGCTGTGCGCCACCCTCTGTGACACGTGTCCTCAGCAATCTTCCCGCCCCAGGTACAGTGTCTCCCACTGGCCTCAGACTCGGTACCTAAATACAGCGTCACATCTCCCGAGATGGTTTTCACACTGTGGGCCCTGGGCCATGTGCTTCAGAGTGACCAGCTTATCAAACATGCACCTTTCTGGACGCCACCAGAGAACCACTGTGTGAGAGTCTCAGGTGTGCGCGTCGCACAGTCTTGCCAGGTGACGGGTGCCACAGCGCTGAGCGCTGGACGCAGCTGGTTGCTGGTTACGCAAGGGCAGTGGGCGTTAGGGTCTCCTCAGCGTAGCACAGGCTGCAGGCAGCCGTCACAGACATCTTGGCCAGACGGTTGGATCTTTCACCCTGGGGGTGATGACATTTATCATTATTTCATAACCTATCACCAGGAGACCTCTTTAAAAACAATCAGTTTCTGGCTTCTCTAAAGTCAGGAAGAAGAAATATGAAGGTGCTTCTGCTGAGATGTAGCAGCTGCGCCTGTCAGACGGGCCGACGTGTCACACCCACGCGGCACCACGCGGGCACCCACCCTGCCTGGTGCCCGAGGGCTGGCGCGTGGCGCCCCTGCTACACGTGCAGGCCGGTCCCAGCATCTGAAGACTAGCTCCTGTCGTGTCTTTGTTCGCCCCTCGGTGGCCCGAGCCGCAGTGTCAGCTGAGCGCGCCCCTGGTGCAGTGTGTGGGGATGTCGTGGTCTCTGGTTCTGCGAAAGCAGCCAAGCACCACGATCCCCCACCCGCCACCCGCCAGCCGTCCCTTCCCGGCCCCGGGCCCTCCCCGCCCGCCCTCTGCACGTCTTGCTAGATTGTTCCATTAGCTTCCCGCTGACGTCCCTGGTTTTCAAAATTGTCCCTTCATCTCACCTTTCATAAGAACGGCCTTCAGACTCCCTTATATAATCATTATCATGATTATAGCTTTAACCGTTTTCCTAACTAGCTTTTATTAAAAGCTCTTTGGTAATGTGGTCTTTCTAATCAGGAATTAGGGCCTCTTGACTGATATAATCAGACATCCCTCACGTCTCCCAAGCACAGGTATGTACTTAACATCATGAAAACTAGTTTTAGCTTCCGTTACTAAAGGTTGTGTGAAGCTGACTGTGTCAAGCAGTCTTTTAACATTTTGTTCTGGAAAAGCAGCAACATACCACGAACTGAGGGCTGACCTCACTCCACCGGCACCCCTCCACTCACCCAGGCCGTTTCAGTCACGTCCAAAGATCCTGTCAGCACATCGGTGAATAGCCTAATGTGTATTACTTTTAATAGCAATACTTGAAAATTTCATGCAATAATAATGGCTTACAGTCACCCAGTATCCAGCAATGTTTGCAGTTTGCTCTCTGGCCTTGCAGTTCCGTCCTTAGCTCGGTCCCCGGGGCCTCCTCCCTGGTAGGCCCCCCGCCCTTTCTTTGTTGGGGAAGCCGTGGTCCCCCAGCAGCCTCACAGCGACGTCACTCTGAGGAGCCAGGTCTCGTGTGGGAGCCAGTTCCGAGACCCACAGGAGGCGCGCAGGGCGGCCCAGGGCTGTCTGGTCACACGGAAAGAGGAAGATGAAAGGCCGCTGAGTTTGTGTTAATGGGTTCGGGGGCCAATGTGAAGAGGCTTCTACTGGTTAAAGGCGGGACACTTAGAGGACAACTAAGGAAAAGCACTGATGGGCTCCAGCATTTCAAGTGTTTAAATGCATGGCATTATAATGACAAAACACAACAGAAACCTTAAGCTTCGGGAGACACTCGGGAACCAACGCGTTATTTTGAAAACTGGCCAACAAAGGGCCAGTTACCCCGCCTTCCTGCATGAGCTGTACTCAGGGTAGCCAAACAGTCCGTGAAGTAAATCATCCTTAAAGAAGGTCTGATGGGATTAGAGCACCAGTTTCCAGCCCTGATGAGACGCCTGCAGCGCCCGTCGGAGGCCAGCGTCTCCGCTGGGAGCCTTTCTAGCAGCCTCACTCCCTAGGCTCATCAGAGAAATGTCCAGAGTCGGCGCAGCTGCTCTTTCCAAAGCCCCTCCCCTTCACCAGTAACTGAGGGCCGGCCGTGGCGATGGCCTCTTTCTGCGCGGAAACCCCGATGGCGCCCACCACTGTCGCCACCAGCTGCGTCTGTGACACCAGATAGTAAAAGGGATTGAAAGTGAGTGAGTGCACGTGAGTCTCTAACAGTGAAAAATGGAAAATCTTCCGTGTTGTGGAGATGAGGTACTAGTATAATGCGATTTTCTCCATGATCCCTTTTTTTTTTTCCTTTTCACCTGCGCTGTGACGAAGTAGCTGATTTGAAGGCCTCAGTGGGTCATTATTAAGGATTTTCGTTTGAAGTGTTTACTCAGGTGTGTGTCAGACGGCTGTGCAAGTTTAGGGGGCTAAACCACAGTTTAAAAGCCGTTTTAGCTGCAGCAGTGTTGGACGGTGGGCGATGCGGGAGCAGGGCTAGCTTGCCCTGAGAAGACGAGGGGAGGGGACCCCGGGACCAGCTCTGCTCAGGGAGCAGGGAGCCCCAGGGCACCGAGGCGGAGGCCACCTGGCCTAAGGGAAAGCCAGCGGGAGATGCCAGAGCGGACCTTCGTCCCAGACACCGAACTGGGGAAGAAACTGAAGACCTGCATGGGGCAAAGATGTTTTTCAAAAGTAGAGGACGGGAGACACGGGGGTACCAGAAGCAATCTCACAGCAAGTTCAAGACGAAACAAAATTGTTTCAGTGAAAGTTAAAGCAGACACTTGTTGTGAATAGTTACATACTTAACCATATCAGGTTGTATGACAGCTGAGTATTTCTTTCCTTGAGTTTCGTGTGCAGTTCCGTCCCCTATAATGTGTTCTTTTGTACAATACTGGTCTCACAGTTTCATTGAAAAGCTCTGTGGTTGAAGGCTAAGATCACTGAAGAGAGAAGAATTTTCACCCCCTTACTTGTTGTCCACACCCCCAGAAGCCCTGGCTGCTCAGAGCATGAATTTATGGCCAAGTCACTGCCGCTCAACAAACTGTCAGAATTCGAAGCACAGTGACTAACGGAATAAATAACACACATTGTTTTCAATGCCAGCCACCAATGAATAATATCACAGAGGCTCTAAGGAGAGAGGTGTGTGGAGAGGTCGCCTGAGGGAAGAGTCAGGGACGGGAGGCCAAAGCGTGTGTGGCCTGGGCTGCCAGGTGTCACCGGCATTACCTGCGCTGCTAGCACCCCCACACACCCCCCTGCCCGCAGGGCCTCGGAGCGGACAGACATGTCCTCCCGGGTTCCCAGCAGCCCGGTCATCTCTCCTGGGACGTGTGTCACCTGGTGCCCTGCCATCTGCCGCAGAAGCTCCCGGCCGTCCATGTGCCTCACCCTGTGTGTGCTTGTCCCTTACAGGTGTCATTCTCTACATCCTTCTGGTGGGGTACCCGCCCTTCTGGGATGAGGACCAGCACAGACTCTACCAGCAGATCAAGGCCGGAGCCTATGACGTATGTGGCGTTGGCGCGCTGTGCTGGGGCTTGTGTTCTGTGTGCTGACCGCTGGCTCAGCCGTCCTTTTCAGCAGTTTCCTGTATTACTTGCCTCTCTTTTAGGGGAAGGGAGGTAAACTAAGAAATGCACACGTGGGTCTGTCTGTATCTCCTTCCAGCTCACTGTCTGCTGAGACTGACAAGAAAAGAGGGACGTGTCTGAGGAGGGGCCTTGCTTGTCCAAACGCTGGGATCTTAGTGCATTTTAACACACACGGAAAGTGAAAGATGTGCGCTTTAGAGATGATTAGTCTAATTACATCCCAAAGGCGTATCACGTAATTTTAGATGGTATGCCAGCGGAACCTTGCAGTGACCCCGTATCAAATAGAACATTGTTCTGTGTGTCAGTTTTGACTTGTTTTGTGTGTTGTTTACATAATGGGCTTCTTTGCAACATTTCATTTGAAGGAGTTTCACAATTGAAAAATATTTGAAAATTGCAATCCCAATACATTTTATTTACAGTTAGAATTATTTGCAGGTAGGCTTACACAATCACACACACACACACACACAAATCGAGCTCTAAGCCTGAAGAGTGAGTCTTTCTCTATTTTCTCTTCATGGCTGAGCTTTGTGCTCGTCGACGGAGTGTCTGTCTCTCCGTTGGTAAATGTTACCGGAAACACGTTCTGCCCCCTCCCCTGGCCTCACCTCGCCCAGCCCTCCTGAAGTCAGGTGCAGGGTCTGGAGACGCTTCCCGTGCGTTTCTAAGGGGTGACAAGGCCACACTGGGCCACCTCTGTACGCAAAGTCCATGTCGAGTTGAGAGGAGTTCATATAAAAAGTGTGAATTGTATCCTGTCATGCCTCATGAACTCCCCAGTGCCTTCCTGTTAAAATGTTCTGTTTAGGGGGATGTGTGTGTCACAAGAGTTTAAAATATGTCTTATTTAAAGGACACTTGGAATAAATAGCTTAATTATAAAGTTATTAATGTACAAATGGATTTTTAATACAAGTTCTGAGAGTTGGTTACCTTCATGACCTTGGCTTGGCGACATTTGTAATTGAGTACTTTTTTTTTAGAAATAGTATTTTAATATCTGTACAAAGAAAGGAAAACTGCGTGTCATGAACTGGCATCTGTATTATTACCATGGATGCTAGAAAATGAATTCTCTTTGGTGACTTCTCAGCTTTATGGATTTTTGCAAATAATTATGGGGAAAATGGCATAAAATTTTATTTTCAGATTAAAGCAGAGATGCTTTGAGAGGACTAGAAGATTCTTAAGGTTTTTTTTTCTGAATTGTAAAGTGTATTCACTAGATATAATATGCAAGCAATTTAGCATGTGTGCTTCTCCTTTATCAGTTACTCTTCATATTATATGTAGATATATGCATGGGGACATATTTATCTACATCACTTTATGTCGATAAAATTGAACTCATACAGAAAGTAAATTAGTGAAGAAATTCACTACTTAAGGAAATGATTAGTATGTTTGGCTATTCCCCATTTGACTGAGTGTATCTATTTTTTAAATGCTTTATAAATTTATATTTCTGAAGTTTCCATCACCGGAGTGGGACACAGTGACTCCTGAGGCCAAAGATCTCATCAACAAGATGCTCACCATCAACCCTGCCAAGCGGATCACAGCCTCCGAGGCCCTGAAGCACCCATGGATCTGCGTAAGTGACGCTCGCCAAAGGCCCCGGGCACTAGTGTGGAAAGTGGACTTGCCTTTAAAATTTCTTTCATGCATTTAAAATAATCTTTGCAGAACAAGGTGAAGTGAAGGAATGAATGAATGTTGACGCCAGGTGTTTAACAAGGTTGATTTCGTAATGGTTGAAAACACATGTCAGGTAGCAAAATCTGGTTGACACAGATTGCTAAATAAATATTGCCCATAGTAACACAAGGACTGAGTATCCACCTACCAACTGTTGTAATACTCAGGCACAGAAGTTAAGAAAAGGATGCCAAGGTCAAGTATTTCCCAGGAGAAAAGATCCGACAAGGCTCATTATTTATCATTCGGCAGCTTTAGAAGCTGGGAGGAAGTTTTAGTTGCAGGAAAGAAGGGCCAAGGAGACTGCGTGTTCTCTACATGTGCTAAGAAAATAGTGTGAACTTGGGAGGAACGTAGAGATTTCAGTAAATTTCAGGTGTTAGGGCGATAAGTAAACCCATGACAGTCTAGTAGAAATACGATTAAAGACATATTGTCACAAAGATAATTTGGGAAACTATTGATATTATCTGTGTGCTTTCTATAGATAGATGGTGCATCTTTGTCACAAACAGCCTTGGCAAAGTCGGTCTTTCCTCGTTAGGGAACTTCTGCAATTGCACACTTGCAAGCTCATCGTGTGGGTACTTGAGGATACTGTTAAGCTTAGTATGTTTTAAACCCCAAGTTAAGTCTCTCTTTCTCCTCTGCCAGCAACGGTCCACGGTGGCTTCCATGATGCACAGACAGGAGACGGTCGACTGCTTGAAGAAGTTCAACGCCAGGAGAAAACTGAAGGTGAGCCGTGGCACACCTGTGGGAGGGGTGACGTGGCCGAGTGAGAACTGAGGCTGTGACCTAGCAAAGGTCACAAGAGTCTCGACTCAGCTGTCTGCTCCTGGGCCTGGGGGCGTGGGGCGCACCCTGGAGGAACCGCAGGGTGGGGGCAGCTGGGCCAGGTGGTCAGGGCACCGGCCACTGTCGGGGGGCTGCTACTCTCAGGAAACGGAAGCCCCTGACCACAGGCGAGGCTGGGAGGTCTGTGGCCGAGGACCGCGAGTCCGTCAGGCAGCGGGACCTCTGCTTGTTCTTGTCTCTCTGGCAGGGCGCCATCTTGACGACCATGCTTGCCACCAGGAACTTCTCAGGTACGTGCGTTAAGCCCCTGCTCCCTGTCTTCTGTTCCCTCTTTGGAATTGAGAGCAATTAAGGATGAGAACAGCACTGTCGTTTTGTTCAGGGAGGGCAGGGTATGGCGTAGACGCAGTCAGATGACCAGCCGCCTTCGGCAGGGCCACCCTATGGGCACCCACTAGGGACAGAAGTGCTCACGTCATGGGCTCAGCATCTCCAGCCCAGAATTATAACTGATATTTCATAAATAATGATGAATACATTTTTGTCTCATTCTCATTGGGAATCCCAATAAGCACAATTTTTAAAGGCCATCATGGAGGGACCCAGTTCTCTTGGGCCTGAGTTCTCTCAAAGTGCAGTAGTGTCTGGGCTATAAAAACGTTGACAATGTTCAAAGGTGTCGAAACCCGGTTCCCAGACAAGCTGCCCCACAGTGAAGTGACACTGCAGGACACGAACCGTCCCCCTGCCACGACTCTGTGCTAGAAATAAGTTCTAAATAATGGCCGAGTGAAGCTGACCATGTACTTACTGTATTGACTCCAGAAGGGTCACAAGTCCATGTCGTTTCCAGAAAGTACCTGAGTCGTGGCCCCTTCTGCAGCAGATGGTCTCAGAGGACCAGCTTTCCAGGTAGACGGTCAGCCCTACGCACGGATGACTGAGGCGGCCCCTCAGCTGCTCTTGGCAGCCTGGGTCTGGCTGTTGAGACTGGGAACAGCTCTCACACAACGGTGCCCAAAATGCACCATTTCTCTTTGCCTTCTGTCCGCCTGAGAGTAACCTGCTGCGTCAGATTGTACAGCAACTCCTAGTTCTTTCTTCCTGCCTCCTGTCTGGCCTGGTAGTGTAGTGACACCAGGTGATGGTGTAGACCATTGTCAACACTCTCAGACTCCTGAAACCACTCACCGGTATGTTGATGATTGTATCAAGGGATCTGCTTTGTCCCCACTGCACTCAGTTGCACATAAGGGGAAACCGTAGGTGGCTTTCACACAACTGCCACCAAGATGTCAGACAGCAGTGACAACACAGTGAGTGACACTACAATGAGGGACTGTGTTATGAGCTGCGTGTCCTTTGTCCACTTGTTTGGTAGAGTAAGACCTGTTAGCGCCTTTGTCAAGTTACCTGTTTTTCGAACAGTTGATTGATATAGTTGACACTTACATGGTGACTTGAATTCGTGTCATTAAATATTAACTAATATGCACTATATCAAACTAGTATTTCACTGTGGCCCAATAAAATTAGCAACTCACTAAGGGGTAGGATGGTTTGCGTAATATATATTGTTAATGACTAACTAACTTGAAAAAATATCCAGAATAAAGATTGTATTTTGTTAAAGTCTTCAATATATTCCTTGGCATAAATTGGGCCTTTTAAAAACGTAGACACCCATACTTAGAAGCTCTTTTTTACCTCTCATTTTCCTTTCATAATCGTGTAAACAAAAAACTCAGGACTAATAGGTGAATTGATGTTGTTTCTGAATGTCTTCGCATGAAAGGCAGTTTCTTCAAGTTCGCGCTTCAAAGCCAACTGAAGACCATCAGACCCAGCACATCCCGTGCTCGGTGTCACCGTCCGTGCTGAGCGATTCACTCGTTTCGTTGCCAGACATGCTCTTTAAAGTAATCTGTCCGTAGGTTCCTGGTTACAGAGTTGTTTTTATTTTCCCTTTTCTCCCCTCTGTGTGTGGATTCCCGTGAGGTACGGTGGACGGTTACTGAATGTCCTGCCTCTGCCCAGGCCCAGCCCTGCTCCGTGACCTCTCCACGCCCCGCGAGGCCTGGGTTCCGAGCGCGCCCTCACCTGGTCACTGCCGCAGGACTCGCTTCTGGTTGCTGCTTAGCTCCAGGCAAATAGTGTTACAGCCAAGGCAACGATTTCTTACAGCCTCAGTGACCAGTAAATTATTAGCTTTGATGCTGAGGACTGAATAAAATTTACATTTTTGCATCTTTTAAATTAAAATTATATCAGGTGGTATCAAAATAATTCCCCAAGTCCAAAGGGCAGCAGGGAGTTAGTTACACATGCAGGCCATTCTTCTGCAGTGAGGCACTTTCACGTCAGACGCCAGACCCTGTTCTGTACGTAAATAATGACGGTGTGGCTCACGTGAGGTGGGCATGTGGCTCCGCCCCACACCCGTGAGCGTCCTCCACGTGGGGCCATGAATCTGTGTGTGCCTGTTCGTCAGGGGCCCATGGAAGGACCCACCACCCTTCAGTGCACTCAAGTTCAGCGGGGGCTGGCCAGGGCCCTCCAGGAAAGGGGCCTGGCATGATGGCCGTGTCCTGCGGCAGTTCTCTGATTCAGCTGCAGACTGCGTTTTGCTTTAATTGTGCCTCAAATGTGTGACTTTTAAGTTTTCAGTGTAAAAGGCTTTGTTTACGTAGGCTTTGTATTCTGATTTTGAAGTATGGAAGAATGCTTAGTGCCCTTTTTTTAAAGGTCATATGCTAAGCATGTTAAAAATTTGCTCTAGGTCAATAATACAGCATTTCATTTTAAATATAGTTGTTAAGGTTTTTTGTAAGAAATGGTCTGATTTCAAAAATATATATTAGAACAAAGATGTTATTTAGCCCATCAAATGTTCACAAATCAGTGTTACATCTCCAGAAAAGAGGGCTCAGGTGTCAGAACTGACGGGGCCGCCGCACTCGTGTGGCTGCACACGTGACACAGGCTGTCAGCTGGTGTCTGGAGGCTGAAGGAACTTTCTGGATCACAAAGGCATCGTCCACTTAAACTTCCAGGACCTTTTCACAGCCAGCAGTGACATTAAGTCCAGTAACATAGCTCGCAATGTGTTCGATGGAATGCAGTGAGCTCGGTGAGAATTGAGTTTGATGTGGAAGAACCAAGAAAAGTGATCCTGCATCTGCACGTCCTCTGAGCTCTGTTCCCTGTGACCTTGAAAACCTGGCAGGCGTGGGCAGGAAGGCACAGCGCCTGCCTGGTTGCCTGGCCGCGGCCTCCTGGCATCGCTCACTAAAACGATCTCACTCTCATTTTGCAGCAGCCAAGAGTTTGCTGAAGAAACCAGATGGAGTAAAGGTAAGCTAAACAGTCCTGAGCCGTTTCTGACTTCAGGTGCTGGGAAACTTTTAAATGTTAAATATGACACATAAGGCTTTGCAGATTGTTTTTTCTAGTTCCTTTAAAGAATGCAGGTTGAAGTATAAAGTAATACACAAAGATGACTAATATCTATGCCAAGAAAAGCTGTATTTTTCTATTTTATTACATATTAAAAGTCATGACAAAATAATACTTTTATACGGCGTTGCTATAGAAGCTGAGCCACTGGCCTGGACAGTCTGATGTCAGATGGCTGAGTTCCCTGCGGGGCAGCTATGACGAAGGTCTTAGTGGTCCCTGGGCCGCTTTCATCACAAGGCATCGAGATGTATTCGAGATGAATGTTTTGAACAAATAGTAGAAAAGTTTCCAAAAAAAAAAAAAAGATAGGGTATTTTGACTTTCTTGGATTTCTAAACAAAGTGAAACAGCTGATTTTCTGTAGACCACCTTTTGTTTCGTGGGGATTCCCCTTTGGCGGATGGTGCCCTTGTACTGGCATCGCGTTGGCCGTCTCTTTCCAGACGGCCTGACGTGTTCCCCTAACGCCTCTTCCTCTCCGAGTGGCAGGTGCAGACTTTCCTCGCAAGCACTTGGACATTCTTGGGAATTAGTTAATATTCTGGCACTTTGAACTTCATCCAAAGTCCGGTGGCCAGTTTGTTTTGAGAATATAATGTAGAAAATTGTTTGTGTGTCCAAGCCCCGTCCCTTCCTCACCACCGGGGTGTGTGACTTGGGAGTTTCCAGAGGTGCGGTGACCGTGCCACGTGAGCCCATAGGACGGCCCCGCGCTGCACGGTGGCTTTCCTCCGCCTCCGACGCCCTCGTCCTGCGGAGCACATGCAGTTTCAGCTTCGGCGACCAGCTCACTCTGCCCTTTTCCGCATTAACACTGGTGGAAATGTGATATTTTAGGTTTCCAAGTGTTTTACTCTCCTGTCTTCCGGTACTGTTCAGAGATGCCGAACTCACCGTTCCTGTGGAGATACTTATTGTCACTACTATCCATATATAGAAACATTTCCAGAACTTTTTCCTTTTAGTCAACTTATAGCACCTCTTTAAAGACAAAATTAGTCTATGCTCCGTGCTTTGATTCTTAAAAATGTATCCGGTCACATTTTTTTTCTTTTCCTTTCTCTTTGACTGGTCAATCCAGAAAAGGAAGTCCAGTTCGAGTGTTCAGATGACGGTGAGGACCTCTGCCTGCCAGGTTTCTCCTGTGGAAATTCACGCCTAGGGACCCATGGCCGCATTTACCTAAGTTGATTAAGTGGGGAAAGTGTAGGAGTCTTAGCGGTCAGTGATTAGCCACGGAAGCACAGTGTGCACGGTCCCATAATACTGTCTTTCTTTCAAATGGAGTTTTCTAAATGTGTAAACGTTTACGCCTTCATCCATATGCTATGAAACGATCTCTTACAAGGACAAAGTCCCATTTCTTCTTGAAACTGAAGAGACCATGACATAATTAATGTCTGTTTACTGCTGCATGAAGACACGCTGTAGGATTATTTTTAAAAGCTGATCGTGATTGCTGAAGTAGGAGTGACTTTAGCTCAGACACACCATCACACACCCACCGTGGAGTTTGTAACTTGTGTGGAAGTGAGCTCACCTGGCTGAGAGCCCTCAGAGGAAATGCTTTCTAATCTGGAAACCGAAGGGAGTTAACCCCTGGAGTTAACATCTTGTTGTGCTTCATCAGGGTGATTCAGTGCATCATTTAAATACCTGACTCGATATAGTCTTTTTGTTGTTGCTGTTAAAGAAAAACACTCTGCTTCCATAACATAAAGTGACTGCGTCTCACAGCCAAAAGTGCCCGAGCCCCGTGTGTGTCCAGGTGGCTGTGGCTGAGCCCCCACTCGCTGGTAGTCATGTGAAAGCCAGTCCTCCCAGCCCTTCCTGACATGTCCTCCTCTGATTCTTCACTTACTTAGCATTACATGTTCCTTCAAAAGATCTCCTGTAGGACGAGAAGGCCCACACGCTAATGCTTACGTTAACAGAACGTTTCTATCTGCACCGAAACATGACCGCGGTGCTGCTGGAACCCACGTTTAACTGGGACTTGCCGCACCTGGCGGTTCAGGGTGGCCATCCAGGTGAATTCCCTATTGGGAGACAAGAGGGTGTGTGCACACTGTGTGTGCGCGCCCGTGCAGACAAGTGTGCAAGGGTGTGCACGTGGGACATTTGCACCCAAATAAAGCAGTTCCTGGCAACCACATCCTAGAAAAAAGACAGCTGTCTTGCCTCAAAATCAATACAAATAAATACTTCCTCTTTCCTTTGCACCCACTGACAGGCCCGCATGCGCGTGTGAGCCGCACGCGTGTGTCACTCGTAGGCCCTCTGACCCTAGGCAGGAAGCCGCTGTGTGTCGCCAGGCCCCGTCCTCGTAGGCAGATGTCTGCACGCACACCCCGTGCTTCTCGTGTGTTCTGTCCCCGCGCAGCGGCGGGATTTCAGCCCCTTCAGTAGGTTCCATGTCTCTGATCTCGGCTTGGCTGTTGCCCAAGTTGTATGTTAAATTCTGTGCACTTTTATTTAAAGCGAAGTGTTGTACAAACTTCCTGCAAAACACAGACGGATGGTTTAATATTTGAAAAGTTTTCCAGGAAGGGGCACCGAAAGTTTTCTCCCTTTTCCTGCATGTTACAGAGCACCATGCCAGAGCTCATTTAGATAAGATACCAAATAATCACACGGATGGGGATAGAGAGGATACCGCCTCAGGTTCTGAGCCTCTGCCCGCTCCTCACTGCCAGTTTCAATAGGACCTGTAGCTACAAACTACGAAAGGAAAGAATTCCCAGACAGCTCACGTGACTGGTTGCTGTAATTTGTAAATACTCATGAGACTCCTTTTTCTGCAGTGTGTTTTTCTTTTAAGTCCTTATGCACATTTGTATGAAAATTATAGGATGTATTCCTTTAGACAATACTAAGTAAAGAAAGTGCCTACATCATACAGTGCATACAGAAAATGGATGTTAATTCCTTTCCCCGTATGATAACTATAATGTAAGTTGTCATACATGAGTTTAAATGAACGTTGGTTATTACTTTTTAAGTCTTTGATTCTTCAAGCCGCCACGCATCTGTGGGCCATTGCAGTACCCCCTGACTCTCAGTCGCTTTCACAGGGGCCATGACCTTTTCTCTGAGGTCAAACCCAATGATGTGAAAGCCAGGGAGTGAGTTTACCAGATGCATTCGCCAACCACAGCCATAAGACTTTGACAGAACACAGTGTTTTCCTCTGAAACAACTGTGAAAAATAGTCATTTTACAATCAGAATGTAGTAAAGAGTTCAGCTTGCCCATTTATAATTGAAGATGTATTTTTTAAAGGAGACCCAGATGTATCATTTAAAAAATGTGTTACCAAACCTGCATGTCATCAGAAGAGCTAAGTCTCTAACTGGACCCCCACCAAGCAGGGAGATGGTGGCTCCCCAGAGAGACGGCCCGTGGTGACTTCGGGCTCAGAACAAGCTCAGGAGATCTGTGGTCATTTCACACTCGGACACCCGGCCGAGCTCCGCTGAAGCAGCTCTCTGTCCACTAAGGTGGCCGAGCCAAAGCCCCCACGTGGGTCTGGCCATCCCACAATCACAGATACGGTCCCCCCGTGTGTGACCACCGGGGACTCGCCGTGGTCACCCCTCCCGTGATGTCATCCTGCCTTTTGTTACCCTCAGTGACTATTTCTGTGTCTGCACCTCCGCCTAGAAGTGCTGCAGGTAGAGACTTTGCTACCGAGGGTTAAGGCGTCTCTGTTTCTGTTTTCTGCACACCTACAGATAAACAACAAAGCCAACGTGGTAACTAGTCCCAAAGAGACTGCCCCTCCCCCGGCGCTGGTATTCTGGACTCTTTGTAACCCTCCTACGCTCCTTGCTGTTCTCTGTCACTGCTTTCACTGTGTAGATACATAGATACGAGTATTTTGTTTCGTTGGGTTTGTTTTCGTTTTTGCTTCCTAAGACGTGGGAAAGTTCGTTTTTTCTTTTCGCGAGGGCAGTTGATTGTCAAGCAGTGTGTTTCTAACATGGGGCGACCTCATTTCGTTGTTGGACGTGGTCCCGGCGGCCACCTGTGCATGCGGCCCTGGGAATGCAGTGGGACGCGCTTTGGTTGCCCTCAGCTCTCCTGCTGATGACCGCGGCCGAGGCCGGGGACCCTCCTCCTCCCGTGAGGCACTGCTGGCATCAGGGACAGCTAAGGGGACAATCGCTAAGCACAGGAAATGCAGACCGCATTCCGGGTCCCCGGGTCCCTCTCACTAACAGACAGCAAGGCTTTGGAAGACCTCGCCTTTTGAGAGTAAGAGGCTCTTCGAAACTTAAAGTTCGCTGTTTGTTGTATTTTAAATTAAATTATCACTGTTTCACTTTCATCCAGACGATGAAACCGCATAGCATAGAGCTTTGAATGGCCACTGGTGGGACCAGCGGCATCCATTTCAATCAGACGCACACGATCAACAACTACATCAGTTTAACGCCTTGAAACAGTGTTGTGTTACAATCTGAGATTTGAATACTGGAATTCAGTGCTCTGAGTTCCACAGTATTTCCCCCATTTATGATTTTCAGAAAGGTTTCTGATTTTTTTGCCGACCTCTATACTGTTATTTTCAATGAATCCAAAATGTTGGGATGATTTCGCTTGGGTTCACTGGGAGGCCCATTTAGAACCATTTGCAGGAAGACAGCAGCTGTGCAGCGGTGAGGACAGCGCTGGCTGGTGACCCCGGGGGAGGAGGGGGGCGCAGGCTCAGTGTGGAGGGGGCCCTCAGGGCGGCAGCAACTGTCAGCGCACAAGGCGTCATGTGACGAAAGCGCCAAGCGCGCCACTGATGCGTGGACACTGAGTCACTTTTACATCAGTTATTCGAGTGTTACTTTCCACTTGGGCATATTTCTTCAATTTTCTGGTGGAAAGCAATAGCAAAAATAATATTTTCATATGGAAAAACATGGCTTTACAAGCAAATCTTCTGTGTAAATACAGAGGGTGCCCAAAAAATGTATACACATTTTAAAAAAGGAAAACTGTATTAAAATTGTAATGCTCAATATATACTAATAACAAAAAATGAATACAAGTCACGTTCGACTTCTGCAGTTACAAGAGGTGCTCAAAGTGGTTTCCATCAGCGTCCAGACACTTCTGATTACAGAGAATTACCGCTTGAGCATCATATATATATATATATATATATATATGTTTGGGTTTTTTTTGGCACCCCGGTGTATGTTCCATAAAGCAGAAATTCTTTTAGGTATAAATCAGGACACAACAGCATCATGTCTCAAATTATAGTAAAGATATAATTCATTCTAAAGCACTTTACGTGAACCTTTTCAAGTCCCTTAGGGTTTCTTGGGGACTTTGGAGACACATGCTTTAGGAAGGCCCTTTGCAAGTGTGGTCCAATGGTGCTAGGTTTCCCAAGGCTGTTTATCTGTGTGCTGATGTTGGTGATGACACCATAATCGATTCTCAAAGCACTACTGCTGGAAAATGCCTCAAATAGAGTTTGAGAGCCTCTAAAGCCTGCCAGTTTCCAGCGGCCTTGGCCAGTTTCTGTGGGACACACGTTGCCAGACCGCTCCCTGGGGAAAAAAGGAAAGCTCTATGTGGTGTGGGACTTTGTGAAACAGTGGCCGCCTCGCCAGGCCCGCGGCCTTCAAAGCCTTGTCTGTGCGCTGATGAGGAGAAGGTCTGTGCATGCCGCTGCTGGGTCCAGGGCTCCTGCCTCGGGCTCACCAGGGAGCTCGCCCCCCGGGGTCGTGTGAGCTGCAGCCCCTGACAGTCGTGGGCATCGCTTCAGCTCGTGTCACTGTTAGTTCTGTCAGCTGGCTCGCTCTGCTCTGTCCCTCTCACCAGTGAGACTGTACTGACCAATGCAAACTGTTTCTTTCTCTATTTTGTTCTCACTCAGGAGCCCCAAACCACTGTAATCCACCACCCTGACGGAAACAAGGTATTCAGAAAGAAAGAATCAGTATCGCCTTGCTTTAACAAGATCACACATCTCATCAAATAGTCAAAGCAAAATTAATTGTCTAAAAACAGGAAAGAAAATCCTTACCCTTTTTCTAGCACACTTTCTTTTGGGTCTAATCTACCTAGAACTGTACACATATTTCTTTCCAAAGAAAAATGAATGACATCTTGAAAGAGAAATGAGTGGTGCCGTTAGTAAAAGTCGGGTTAAACGAGGTCTTTACCTGAAGGTGACTGTGTATCTTAAGCAAGTCCATCTGGCCTTTTTTCTTTTTTTTCATGCCTGACTTGCATTGTGCTTTAGATGCATCTGCATGAAATTTTAGAATTTCTTGCTGTCTCATTCCACTCTTCAAAAAAATCAACTGGAGTTCATAGGCACTTACCTAAGTTTAATGTTGCTTTTGAGTTTATTTATTCTGTTGTCATAGTGTTTTGTGGTTTTTTCCTTTTCCTTTTAATTCTGTTGTTGGTGGTGTTTTGTTGTTTGGCATGAATTTGAGGAGAATACGGGAGTTTAACTTCTTGTGAAATGCGTTTGTCTGTGTTGAGCCATGAGCATTCCCGTAACCGATGTTTGACTATTTATGCTGAAAGGAGCCTGGCCGTCCCCTCCGCTGGAGCTTGCTTGCACGCGTATGGACTGAGTACCCGTGCTTGTCCGCGGCAGGAAAGGAGACGCTTTCTAAGCGTAGTCTGCGTATCCAGCTTATTCTCATACATCGTTCTAGCTCCAGGGGGAGGGGAACCACTGCATCAGACTTTCTGAAATAAGCCCCGCGTCTTCTCCTTACGCTTATCAGCAATGTGTAAGTCAGGAAACACGTTTTCTCTGGGTTAACATTTAGTTATCAATATTAAAACCATGAAACACCATCGAGCGCTACATTCTTTATTATGAGATGTATTTGACAGTCGTTGACACTTCAAGTGCCCCACGTCCCTAAAAGACTGGAGGCTGTCAGGAGCACCACACACGAGACAGGTTTTGCCAGTGTCATTAGTGAGAGGGAGGCCACACGTAGCAGCTGGAGCGGACGCTGACTAGGCCCGACTCTGTCCTGTGTAAGAGGCGCTGCATGAAATGTCTTGTTTACATGAATTAGTTTATTCTCAAGTGCATGGGTTTACTTCTTGTGAAGTTTAAGCCTGAACTCTAGGTCACGTTAAGAAATGCATGGAGACTGGTTTGTGTGGATGGAGACTGGACACATCTCTAATTAGTCTGTCCCTTTGGTGTAAACATTCTGCGTGATAGTTACACAAATTGATCGATTTTTTAAATATTGAATCTCTAAAAGGATGCCGAGTGCTGTTTGCACCCTTCCCCAGAGCCTGCTCCTCCTCACGGAGCCCGTGGCTGTAATCGGAAGCTTGTTTCCAGCGCTTTTGCTCTCACCTTGAATCATTCCAGATGGAAAATGGTGTCTTATGAATATTACTAAATTTCTTTGCTAGAAAATACATTACAAATGGAAAAACTTATCAGACCCTTTTTGAGGAATGTGTCTCAATGCTGGCTGTTACAGTGTCCTTGTAAGTGTGCTCATTAATCTCCAGCTTCATCGATAGTTTTACGAAGAAACAGCCTTGTCTTTTCATTATGGGAGTGGGTTTCAGTAATGGCCAGTTTCTGATTTAAAAATGAATGAAAAAAATCTAATTGTCCTTGGAAGTAAATTATTCCTTATGGTTCCATTGTGCTGATCGACCACAAACGTGGAAGTTCGCGAAAGCACACCTTAGCTTAGCACTGCCGTGCTTTCTCTCTGCAGAGAAACGAGGCAGGCACCTCTGCTGCGAACTCAGGCAGACGCTGCCTTCCACCATGAAGGGTTAGTTACTGATTGAGATTAAAAATTGTTCGACTTTAACGTTCAAATTTCTTAGGCTGATGTCGTCAGTTTCTCCTAAATGCGTAGAAAAAGCACGTGTCATGGTGCCATGTAGCACAAACACGTCCTTAGACGGCTCTCGAAGGAAGCAGCACGCTCCGGCCGCGTCTGCGGATCCCCTGGAGTTATGGTGTTTCCGAGCGTAGGCGCCCAGAGTGATCCCTGTGTAAATGTTTGTGGCATTTGGCATTTTATTTCTGTTCCGATCATGTCACGTGTTTGTCCGTTTGCACGTCAGCACACGCACACAGCCTGCTGAACAATTTTGCATGATGTGAACGCCACTCGCCAGTTGTTTCAGAGCAGAGAAGCCATTCATTGTTTGCAACTTAAAATGTGTTTTCTCCTCCACAGGAGTCGACTGAGAGTTCCAACACGACAATCGAGGACGAAGATGTAAAAGGTACGATGAAGCCGGAGGCGGGAAGGCCCAGCGCGGAGTCCGTGCTGGGAGAGGATGTGCTGGTCTCAGCTGAGTCGTGCAGGAGCTAGGCCTGTGCCACGGCACGAGGAGCGTTTCCTTTCAGGGTTTTCTTAATCTCTCGTGACTGCTTTGAATGCATGCATGGGTGTGGTCCCGTCGTGTTCTTTTCCCTGTTTTAATTGTGAACGTTAAAGCACATTGTGACTTTAAACCAGTACTGACAGCGTAGGCTCGTACCACCAAACTGTAAGTGTGTCAGAAGGAAACATAAAGTGCATATGCGTTACATACATTCATGAAACCTTCTAGAAAACAGTTTCTGTTCAAGAACGGGTGTGACAATAACGCTTTAAAACTTGGCAGTTGTCTCGCGGGGTGTCAGTGGGTTTGCGTTTGGCGGCCTTCTCATCATGGGTTTTCATGGACTTACCTCATGTGCCCTGACCCCGGTTCTGTGCAGCGTCCCGGTGGTGAGTGGCAGCCGGCGTGCGATCTGACACCCCAGCCTTCACCCCCAGCCCCACGCCTGCTCCTGGCACCCGTCCCTGTGGCCCTGGCCATCCTGGGACGGCGTCTTTCCCTCACTTGCTTTTGCAGCTTTTACTCTGATTTTGTAATCAGTGTCTGTAACAACGGTTTCTGTAGGCCACTTGGCACGACAGGGGCGGGAGGCAGGATGAAAGGAAAGGGAGTATAAAAGGAATTCAGAGAGGTGGTCCATCAGTTAATGAAACCTTCCCTGGAAAGATTACTTCCCTAATGGTATAACTGAGGCGTCATTATCAAGATAGGCTTGAAAAGCTGCACTCACATTAGAGAATAAAGAACCTGGGAGCTCTCAGTGCAAGGAGACAGACAGGTAATTTAGGAAATAGAAATGGCTGCAGAGCCGAGTTGCCGGCCGGCCACCGACTTTATTCTCTGTTAGACGCCCCCCCTGGGGCTGGCACCTGGCCTGGCTGTGGAGGGAGGCGCCCTTACCTCTTCCCGTGCGAGCTGCGTCAGGGCTTTGGTGAGTAGGTCTGTTCATCCAGCCTTGCCCCGGAGCTAAAATTTGAACTGAAGTAATTTTGTGAATCATTGGTTCTAGCCCCATTAGATTAGGAGATTCCTTTTATAAGCAAATAGGCAGATGTGCCGTGACGCTTTCCCGATGATTCCGAAAGAAGCATCTTTGTACCTACGGTGCGCTCATTAGCTTTCACCCGAGCAATGTATGGTTTTCACATCTTCCCTTAGCGAGAATTAGAAAGAGGAAATAACCTGTGTCTTCTCCACCGGAGAGACTGAGGGTCTGGATAACTGGATAAAACGGGAATGCCAGCCCAGCACCAGGGCGGGTCTGCTCCTTGGCGACCACGGCACCCCGTAGGGGCTGTTCACGGCTGCCTCGCCTCGCCTCTGAGTGCTGGTTCAGAAGGGCTGCCCGTAACCTCTGTGGGCGTCCGTGTCCAGACAGCAGCCCTGTCACTTACACCTGACAGTCTGTAATGTGTGTGTGTGTGTGCGAAGTGAAATTAGACCGGCAGTTGTCAAAAGCAGCCCTTGCAGTCCCGGCACCGGCCTGGGCTCCGTGTCCCCGGGACCCCAGATTGGGACGGTGTTGGCCTTTGTAGTGAGGCTGCATTGACACCACAAAAGCAGAGGAATCCAACTCAACCCTGAGATCAAAGAAACATGCAGTTGGTCGTGAGCCCGCCATGCTGTGGCTTCTCTCCTTGAGGCCAGTGAAGAAGTGACCTAAGTTTCTGCCTGCTGTGACTCGCGTGGATGAGTCCGGCTGTGACATGCGAAACGCGAGGCCTCACTGTGTTCTGCACGCACCATGCAGCCTCTGGTGGCTCCCACTTAAATACTAAGTGACAGCAGAAACCTTTAAGCCTGGAAGTGCTCTGAGGGTCACAGGCCGTCGTCCTGACTATACGGCAGGGGGCAGGGATGGGACATCAGTGTTTTTGGAGTATTTCTCAGTCTGTTGGTCTGCGTGTGCGGGAGCCTGCCCGCCAGCCAGGCCCAGGCCTCAGGAAAGCCCCGCGCGCGTCTCTGCCTGGGAGCGGCTGTCGTTCTGCCGTCGCCCTGGTCGCTGGGTCTGGATGTGTTCACGGTCCAGCTCGTTAGACCCCGGCTCACTCAGCACCCAACATGTAGGAACTCAGAGACCACCGTTCCTGATCCCTACCCGCAGGCCCGTCCCCAGCACGGCGTGTCTGGGCTCCACACACGCTCCCCATCCCGCCCTCCCGTGTGACTCGTTGTCAGGCTGAAGCCACACTTCTCAACACGCTCTCGAGGCGTGTGCCGCCGCTGCAGCACCCCTCCTGCTGGCTGTCCCCCGCTGACACCAGCACCCAGCCTCCGGCGTGACCCCTTGAGCGCCACAGCACAGGCTCCCCGCCAGTGGCAGCGTCCCCCTGGTCTCGCCAAGGAACACGGGGAAAACGAACACCTGACGACCTCACCAGATGAGGGAGGCGGGGGGCCGACAGCACAGGACCTTATTCTGGCCTCTTCTGGGGGCAGGGAGACAGGCCGCTGAGCTCAGAGAAGGGGTGCTGGCGCCGAGGGGGCTTCCCCCTCCAGGGGGCCGGCCTGGGGCATCGGGAGGCCCGAGCTGGGCGCTGCTCTTGACCGGTGTGCAGGCCGTCTGTCTCTCCGTCCACCCAGCGAACCACGTGCTGAGTGTTTGCCGTCAGCCGGAGGCCACACCCTCTCTCGTGAGCTCGTCTTTAGCTTTCTGTCTGTACTTTGTTTCTGAGGCTGTAACTTAGCAATTTCTCATATTCCACAAACATCCAGAAGACTCAGTGAAAACATGAGATTTTATAGCTCACTGTCTTTCATCTTCTTTTTCAGAAAAACCTTCAGCATTTGGTTATAATCACATTGTCCTTTCCAAGCTCGTGGGGGCCTCGCATGGTCTTACACAGCTTCTCTTTAGAGAGCTAAGTGCACCATTTTCTTTCTCCAAGGCCATGTATTCACGTCCCACTGCCGACCTTTCGAGCAATGTCCTAATTTTGTCCTTTGGTTTCTGGCTGGTGTCCAGATAATTCTAAGACAAGGAAACATGTTCATTAAGCAACACACATGACATTGTCACTAACAGTCGCATATGAGCAGACCCAGAAAGGTTCAGGTGCGTGCGGCCCCTAACAAAGAAAGCTCTGCGTGAAACAGTTGCATTCACTCAGGTTTTTTAAAGATTATTGAACACCTACTGTGTGCCAGATCTGGAAAACTGGGCAGAGGCTTTGAAGGCTCGTTTTTCCCTCAAGGAGCTCCCAGCCGTTTCCCCTTTTGTGAGGTGATGTCTGCTGGCGCGTCCCCCATGGCGGCCCTGTTTGCATGGCAGTTCAGTTCTTACCATGCACGTGAGTCAGTGTTGGTCCTTAACGCCCAGGGCATCACGTAGTCTTTTTCCTTTTGACATGTTATAGGTTTCCTTCTCCCCTAGGCCAGTGCTGCTGAGCAGATTTTGCTAGTCACAATATGAAAATAAGCACCATGTTTGGTACAAAAGGACTTGCTGCTGGGCCTGCTGTGGTCTATTTCACTGTGGTGACACACGGTCGTTGTCGTCGTCCCGTCCCCCCCCCCCCCCGAGCCATCATAACCTGCTAGCTACACCGACGTGGCACTCAGGTACCCTACGGAGGCAGTCTGCAATATGCAGATACCTCTGATGGTTGGTTTGATCTTCTCAGATTAGAACACAAAATTTAAAAACGACACTTAGGTTTGAACAATCCCATCTATTCAATTGTGTTCTCTTTAAAAACAAACATGAAAACCCTAGGAAACCATTTCACGTTACACAAGCCGTAGATCCGATGGTCGTTTTGTGATGGCCGAGCCAGCCGCCGCCTCCGGAGAGCGCCCTCTGACCCCCTCCCCGCCATCCTGCTGGCCGAGCTTGTCGGTCCAGCTGCACTTGTCCCACAGGCAGCTGTCCGACGGCTTCCACACATCCGTGCTCAGACACATCTGCAACGGCCAATTTGGCATGACTGTTACATTCCAGCTCCTCTCACGCTCCCGGGCCGCCATCTTACAGCTTTCTGTGTCTCCTCAGTTTTGCTTGCACCCCACATCCAGCCCCTCAGCAAACCCTGCGGGTCCTCCCTTTAGAATACACACAGTTCTTTTCGAAGTTGACTGCGGCCACTGATCCGCTTCCGTCGGCCTGGTCACGGCGCCATCAGGTTCGGCCTCTGTCACCAGCACGGCTGGCCGGTCAGTGGTTGGCCTGCTTTGCATCACCTGCCCAGAGTCTGCTCACAGAACAGCACTCAGTGACACTTTTCAAACACGTCAGACCCCGTGCTGTCTCTGCCCGGTCTCCGGCGGTGGCTGCCAGCGCTGTTAGGATGGGTGGCAAGGCCACGCCGCCCCCTGCCTGGCCTGGACCCTCTGACTCGTCTCTGGTGGACCTCAGCACGCCGTTCCCGCCTCGCGTCTGTGTGCGCGCCGCCCCCTGCCTGCCACGTGCTGGCACAGGTTCCCCGTGGCTCTCAGTCTGATCAGATGTGACGCTCTCAGAGCTCGGTGACCCGGCTCTACATTGCGACCCCCAAATCCAGCGCTCCCGCTGTCCTCTGCCCTGCTCTCCTCCTGGTGTTAGTCAGCCTCTGAAACAGCGACGTTACGTGTTTTTTCTCGGTCTGCCCTCCCCTGCTAGAATGTCGGTTTCTCCACCACAGAGACTTGTGTCCGTTGCCCACAGTCCCTTCCCAGCGTCCGGCAGTAGCAGGGATGGTAAAGCGATGGCGGAAGGAGCCTGTGGAGACCAGCCGGCCGTGTCCTGGCTGTCTGTAGGATTAGGCGTCCCTAAAAATGAGCGTCACGCCACAGCTTTCTATCGTCGGAGGCTTTTGTCCACACGTCCCGCCCCCATGATTAGGAGCTGAAAATACAGGAAATGCAAGTTTAAAAAGTGAGTCACAGGACCCGTGGGGCGCGTGCTCTGGTGTCAGAATCCA